CCCCTGGGCAACATCTTTGTAGACAGCTGATTCTCTCACTCCAGAAGCAACTTGCAGCATCCAAAAAACATTGATATTAAAGGCAGAACATCTTGCCCCGCCTCTCAAGACCTACCAACGCTCTGATTGGTCCCTTACCGTGATTGATAGCCATCCCGCCCAATCAGTGATCAGCATGCCGGGATTCAAGGTTAGAAGACCTTGCCCCGCCCTACAGCCCAACGACGCTTCTGATTGGCCGCGCTCCGTAACTGACAGCGCTTCCGCCCAACCCCCGCTCACCTGATGGCCCCGACGGTCTGCCGATACTGTCGGTAGCGCTGGGCGACCACTAACAGCTCGGCCGGGTCCACCGGAGGCGGCACTTTGATCCGCCCGGCTTTGGACTTGGCCGGAGGGTCCGTGCGGGACTTGCGGCCTCGAGAAGGGACCGCCAGGAGCGGCGCGGGGCTCGGGTTCCAAAGGCAGGCCTGGCCCCGCCGAGCCAAGACGCGCCTCAGCATCTCCGCGGCTGTGAGGGGGAAAATGGCGGAGAGGAAAGGCCGGCGGACCGGAAGTGGCACCGAGGCACCACGGGGAATGTAGTCTCCTCTCCTATTTCTACTCAGCCGACCCCTCACCGGAAGTACAAGAGGAGTGCCTCGGGAAATGCAGTTCGACGCACTACTTTGACTGCTAGGAACATATGCTGTGGAATCCTAATAGAAAACACACATACATATTTATTTAATTATATTTGATTAGTTATTGTTTTATATTATGTTCTATTGCTGTAATGTTTTGGTATATGCTGGGCATTTAATGTTTGCCTCTGTATGTGTAAATTTCCCTGAGCTGTCTACAAATTATTATTATATAAATATATTATATATATATATATATATATATATATTATATAAATAAAGATTATTATTATTATTATTATTATTATTTATAATGTATATTTATAACATTCTTGGGTTGCCCCCTTTTCTTTAACCAAAGGTATATGACTTTTAATGTATTTAGAGGTAGATAGATAGCTATAAATGATTTTAATGTATATTTATAGCATTCATGGGTTGTTCCAAAAATATCTATACCGTTTAATCTATTTATAGATAAATAGTTAGATAGATATAAGTGATTTTAATGTGTATTTACAGCAGTCAGGTTGTTCCAAAAGATTTATTTATTTATTTATCGTGTCATCAGCAACCATTGTATCACAATTCTAACAGAGCAAAACAAACACACAGATTAAAAAGAAAAAGGGGGAAAAAACACACAGATTTTGCAAATTTGGTATTTGGTTAAATGTCCTTTGACCAGTATCTGGCCACTTGGAGTGCCTCTGGGTTGCCGCAAGAAGGTCCTCCATTGTGCATGTGGCAGGGCTCAGGTTGCATTGCAGCAGGTGGTCTGTGGTTTGTTCTTCTCCGCACTCGCATGCCGAGGATTCCACCCTGTAGCCCCATTTCTTAAGATTGGCTCTGCATCTCGTGGTGCCAGAGCGCAGTCTGTTCAGCGCCTTCCAAGTCGCCCAGTCTTCTGAGTGCCCAGGGGGGAGTCTCTCATCTGGTATCACCCATGAATTGAGGTGCTGGGTTTGGGCCTGCCACTTTTGGACTCTCGCTTGCTGGGGTGTTCCAGCGAGTGTCTCTGTAGATCTAAGAAAACTATGTCTTGATTTAAGTCGTTGACGTGCTGGCTGATACCCAAACAGGGGATGAGCTGGAGATGTCTCTGCCTTGGTCCTTTCACTATTGGATGCTACTTCCCGGCGGATGTCAGGTGGTGCAATACCGGCTAAGCAGTGTAATTTCTCCAGTGGTGTAGGGCGCAGACACCCCGTGATAATGCGGCATGTCTCATTAAGAGCCACATCCACTGTTTTAGCGTGGTGAGATGTGTTTATTTATTATTTATTTATTTCATTCACTTATACCCCGCCCTTCTCACCCCTAGGGGGACTCAGGGCGGCTTACATAAAGGGCACAATTAGATGCCCAAAACATACAACAAGTAAACCAAAAGTATAAAATTCAACAGTTAAGTTAAACAACAATACATAATAAAAGCATAAATCCTAAAACAATCTCATGTCAGAGTTCATATATCAGAGTCCATACATCCGTTCTATTCCGTTTGTCATTGTCTGTCTCCGGTCCTTGGTTTAATTATCAGAGTGGCCAAAAGCTTGGTCCCATATCCAGGTCTTTAGTTTTTTCCTAAATGCTAGGAGGGAAGTCGCCGATCTAATCTCCCCGGGGAGTGCGTTCCACAGGCGGGGGGCCGCCACTGAGAAGGCCCTGCTCCTCGTCCCCGCCAGCCTCACTTGCGATACTGGCGGGGTCGAGAGCAGGGCCTCCCCAGAAGATCTTAAACTTCGAGGTGGGACGTAAAGGGAGATCCGTTCGGACAAATACACTGGGCCGGAACCGTATAGGGTCTTATAGGTCAAAACCAGCACTTTAAATTGTGCTCGGAATTGGATCGGCAGCCAGTGGAGCTGGCGCAACAGGGGGGTGGTGTGCTCCCTGTACGCCGCCCCGGTGAGCAATCTGGCTGCTTCTCGCTGAACTAATTGAAGTTTCCGAGCAGTCTTTAAAGGCAACCCCACGTAGAGTGCGTTGCAGTAATCCAACCGGGATGTGACAAGAGCGTGGACCACCGTGGCCAGATCCGACTTCCCAAGGTACGGGCGCAGCTGGCGCACAAGTTTTAATTGTGCGAAAGCTCTCCCGGCCACCGCTGAGACCTGAGGATCCAGGCTCAGCGATGAGTCCAGGATTACTCCCAAGCTACGAACCTGCGTCTTCAGGGGGAGTGTAACCCCGTCTAACACAGGCTGTAACCCTATACCCTGTTCGGCCTTCCGACTGACCAGTAGGACCTCTGTCTTGTCTGGATTCAATTTCAATTTGTTAGCTCTCATCCAGTCCGACACAGCAGCTAAACACCGGTTCAAGGTCTGGACAGCCTCCTTGGTGACAGGTGAGAAGGAGTGACAGATTTGGACATCATCTGCGTAGAGATAACATCTCATTCCGAAACTCCGAATGATCTCTCCCAACGGCTTCATGTAGATGTTAAATAACATTGGGGACAAGATTGAACCCTGTGGGACTCCACACAACAACGGTTGTGGGGCCGAACAGGTGTCACCCAGTAACACCTTCTGGGTCCGACCCTCTAGGAAGGATCGGAGCCACCGCAAAGCAGTGCCACCGAGCCCCATATCCATGAGGCGACCCAGAAGGATACCGTGATCGACGGTATCGAAGGCCGCTGAGAGGTCCAGCAGAACCAACAGGGACACACTCCCCCTGTCTAGTTCCCTGCGCAGATCATCTACCAAGGCGACCAAGGCTGTCTCAGTTCCATGTCCCGGCCTAAAGCCGGACTGTGCCGGATCAAGATAATCAGTGTCTACCAGAAACCCCTGGAGTTGTGTTGCCACCACACGTTCCATGACTTTGCCCAAGTAGGGGAGATTGGAAACTGGCCGATAGTTGTCGAATTGAGTGGGATCCAGTGATGGTTTCTTCAACAGCGGTTTTATAACAGCCTGTTTTAGGCTCGCTGGAAACTCTCCTTTCTGTAAGGAGGTATTAACCATCACCTTCACCCACCCCGCCAAACCCCCTCTGGCTTCCTTGACCAGCCAGGAAGGGCAGGGGTCTAGGATGCATGTGGTGGGTCGCACCTCTCCAAGGATCCTGTCCACATCCTCAAGCTGAACCAATTGAAACAAATCCAACAAAACTGGACAAGCAGATGCTCTCGTTACATCCCCAGAGACTGCCGTTAACATGACGTCAAAACCCGACCGAATCCGCTCAATTTTATCCGCGAAGGATCGAGCAAATGCTTCACAGCGAGCCACCGAGTTATCCGAGGCCTCGCTTTTTGGCGGATTTAACAGGCCCCTGACAACTCGAAAAAGCTCAGCTGGACGATTCTTCGCTGATGCAATATTGGCTGTGATGAATGTTTTCTGAGCTGCCTCTATTGCCACACCGTAGGACCTTAGAAAGGTCTTGAGGTGTGTTTGGGCTGGATTGGTGGGATTCTGGCGCCACACGCGCTCTAGCCTCCTCTTCTTTCGCTTCATCGCTGCCAGCTCTTCAGTAAACCAAGGAGCTGGTTTAGCTCGGTTACTCGAGAGGGGGCGTTCCGGAGCGATAGTGTCAATTGCCCTGGTCAACTCACTATTCCAGCCAGAGACCAGAGCATCGACAGTGTCGCTAGCCAAGAAGGTGGAAAAATCCCCAAGAGCCCTCAGGAAACCATTTGGATCCATCCGTCTCCTGGGGCGGACCATTCTAATGGGTCCACCACCCCTGCGAAGGTTAGAAGGCACAGTTAGTCTAAAACTGATCAAGTGGTGATCGGACCATGGCAAAGGGGCGATGGTCGGCTCCTCCATTCCGTCACCCTCATCCCATCCCTGCATGAAGACCAAATCCAAGGTGTGTCCGGCACTATGGGTGGGACCAGATATTAGTTGGGACAGGCCCATGGTTGCCATGGCGGCCATGAAGTCCTGAGCCGCTCCAGAGAGAGTGGCCTCGGCATGGATGTTGAAATCTCCCAGGACCAAAAGCCGTTGGGAGTTCAGCACCATGTCCGAGACCACTCCCGCTAGCTCAGGTAGGGAGACTGTAGTGCAGTGGGGTGGTCGGTACACTACCAGAATCCCCATCCTGTCCCGGTCACCTATCCTAAAGCCGGCACATTCAAAGTAAGATGTTTGTGGGATGGGACACCTGATCAGTGGGATATAGTCCTTATAGACCACTGCGACTCCGCCTCCCCGCCCTCCAAGCCTTGGTTGGTGCTGAACAGAGTAACCTGGTGGACAGAGTTGGGAGAGATTAACCCCCCCCCTCGTCCAACCAGGTTTCCGTTATACAGGCCAGGTCGGCTCGTTCTTCTTGGATTAGATCTTGTATGATGGAAGTTTTTCCATTTACCGACCTGGCATTGAACAGCACCACCTTTAGCCTGGAGGGGCCACCATCTTGGCACCTCAGTTGTATTTTGTCGGGAGTAGGTTTTGGAGTTGCCAATCTATTTTTGTTAATTTCGGGCCGAATAGTAGTGTTGATTTTTGGGATTGCCAATGTCCTATTAAAAATTTTGGGCCGAATTTGCTTTTGTCTTTGATTTCTAGTATCTTTAGGAATAGCCAATTTATTACTGTAAATTTTGGGTCGAAATGGAAATTTTATTCTCCCTTTCCCGTATCTCCCCCTACCAGTCACCACCTCTATGGCGGCTCCCCCACCCTCGGTCCCAACCCCCCCGGGGATATTCCCTTCATTTCCAGCAGCTGTAATCTCATTAATAGGCACATGCTTACCATTATTGTTATCTATCTCTGGGTTCCGATAATTCCATCCCTTAGTGTTGACCATTCCCTCTAGTATATCGAGAACTGTAAAGTGTACTCGTGCTGAAGCTGGAACAAAGTGCACTTGTGCTATGATTGTTATAAAGTGCACTTGTGCTAGGGGTTGGAGGGATAGCAGTAGCAGTAAAGGCAGAGCAAGCATTGACATGAGAGTAACAGTAGTATATCGATGTTAACAATAATAAGCTTACTCCAATTAATGAGGGAACCCAGAGTAAAAAGCATAAAGTGCAATTTTATGATATGGTTCTGATGTAAGGACCAAAGTGCTTAGGTTAAAGTGACTTCGTGCTGAATAGTTCTAAAATTTCTTTAAAGTGCAGCTAATGCAGAGTTTACTGGCTTCTAGAGTGAAACCACTTCCTACCACTGAGTCAGGACAACAATTCACACCAGGAAACCCAGCTCCCTAGGCCCGTGGAACAACAAACCGGCACCCAGGGACAGATCTCTCGGTCTTCTTGATTGTCTTGAGTGGGGAATTCTCCAACAGAGCAGATGATAGTCTGTATAGTGAAGGCAGTATCTGCAATTGTTGCTAATTAACAGCACGCTTCATAGGTTGTCCATTGTGTGATAGAAATTATTGCACTTTTTAACTCAGCCACAGAGGGCAATATAAGGGAACGAATGCCTAGTTCTTTAGTATGGAGCTCTGCCGATTGTAATTAAAGCCCTGAATCATGAGGGGACAGAACTTCCGGTTTTATGTTTAGGCTCAACTGTCCACGATGTAAAGTCTTATTTTGAGCCCAACCACCGCAATATGATGTTACTTATTGTTCGCTATATATATATACAATACAATAATACAATACAATAATGTCACACTATCAGCAATAACGCGGTAGATGGTATTCTAAGATGGCGGCTAGAGGTGGAACTATGCTGACAAGTCGCCTCCCGTTAGAGAGGGGAGGTCTCCAAACTCCAGGTGGTAGACTCCCCCTAGGCAGCAGGGGCCTAGGCAGCAGGGGCCCCAGCTAAGGCGTTCGCAGCCGCTGCAGCCGCCGCAAGCCGGCCTCCGCGTTGATGCAGCCGGGCGCTGACGCAAGAAGGCGTCCCCAGCCTTGGCCTCCCGCAGCAGCAGCAGCGGCTCGCTCTCTCCTGTCGTTTGTCGCCGCCTCGCTCCGCTCCCCTCCGCCTCGCTCCGCTCACCTCCGGTGACAACTCCGCCGCTCCACCGCTTCGCACGCCTTACCCTGATAGAGGGGGGCGGGCCGGCCGCACGGACGGTCCCGAGCGGCCTCCACGTTGGTCCTGGCGGCGGCAGCGGCGAGCCGAGGGGGGCGAGCCGGCTGCACGGACGATCCCGAGCAGCCTCCACGTTGGTCCTGGCGGCGGCAGCGGCCCTGGCGATTGGCGATGGCCCTGGCGGCCGGCGGCGGCGACCGCGACGGCCCTGGCGCTGGCGTTTGCGCTGGCGGCGGCGGCCCCGACGGAGGCCCAGCAGAGGCTCCAGATGCTCCAGCGGCAGTGCTCAGTCCGCAATCGCGGGTAAGAACAGATTTATGTTGCTGTAGGAGCTATGATTGTTAAAGCTGGCGGCCTAACTGGAGAGCTATCGGCCTGGTTGGAGGCAGGCCGGCCGCGATGCAATGGCGGCGTTCGCTTCTCTCGCTCTGCCTTCCTTGTGTCTTCCTGGCTCTTCCTGGCTCTTTCTCCCGGCTCTACGACCCTCTGTAGAGAGCCTGAGGCTCAAGGTCTCTCTCCCCTCAGTTTGAAGATGGTTAGTGAGGGGGGGACTCAGGATTCCTTCAGATTATGATTTGTGGTTAGGCAGCTCAGCGTTTTCAGCTGCCGGCCATCATACCGGAACCGGAAGTCCCTCTGGGCATGCATCCTCAGCAGCAGAGTAGCATAGCGCAAGGGCAGATGTCTTCACTGTGTCTGGTTGTGATCCCCAGGTTGTGCCAGTCAGCTTTCGTATGATATTGTTTCTAGCACCCACTTTTTGCTTGATGTTCAGGCAGTGCTTCTTGTAGGTAAGAGCACGGTCCAGAGTGACTCCCAGGTATTTGGGTGCGCTGCAATGCTCCAGTGGGATTCCTTCCCAGGTGATCCTCAGAGCTCGGGATGCTTGTCTGTTCTTAAGGTGAAAGGCACATGTCTGTGTTTTAGATGGATTAGGGATCAGTTGGTTTTGCCTGTAATAGGCAGTAAGAGCACCTAGAGCTTCGGAGAGCTTCTGTTCAACCATCTCAAAGCTCCCAAAAGATATATCTATGTCTTTTAATATGTTTAGGTTTAGATAGAAATGTTTTTATATATCCCTCAGTTCTTGTGGGTTTTTCGGGCTATATGGCCATGTTCTAGAGGCATTTCTCCTGACGTTTCGCCTGCATCTATGGCAAGCATCCTCAGAGGTGAGGTCTGCTGGAGCTGGGAAAAAAGGGGTTTATATATCTGTGGATATATATTAATGTAAACATTCACACCTAGCTCCAGCAGACAAGAGTCCTTTGTCCCACCCTGGTCATTCCACAGATATATAAACCCCTCTTCCCAGTTCCAACAGACCTCACTACCTCTGAGGATGCTTGCCATAGATGCAGGCGAAACGTCAGGAGAAATGCCTCTAGAACATGGCCATATAGCCCGAAAAAACCCACAAGAACTGAGTGATTCCGGCCATGAAAGCCTTCGACAATACGTTTTTATATATGTTTATAGCATTCTTGGGTTCCTTTTTTAACCAAAGGTATATCTCTTAAATGTATTTAGATTAGATAGATAGATAGATAGATAGAGAGATAGATATTATTTTAATGTATATTTATGGCAGTCTTGGGTTGTTTCTTTTTTTAACCAAACATATGTCTTTTAATGTGTTTAGAGATAGATAGATAGATAGATAGATATGATTTTAATGTGCATTTATGGCAGTTGGGTTCTTCCAAATGATAGATTTATATTTTAATATATTTAGTTATAAATAGATAGATACACATGATTTTAATGTATATTTATATCAGTCTTGGTTTATTCCTTTTTTAACCAAAGGTATATGTCTTAAATGTATTTAGATTAGATTAGATTAGATTAGATTAGATAGATAGATAGATAGATAGATAGATGTAAATTATTTTAATGTATATTTATAGCAGTCTTGGCTTATTCCTTTTTTAACCAAACGTATGTCTTTTAATGTGCTTAGAGATAGATAGATAGATAGATAGATATGATTTTAATGTGTATTTACAGCATTTGGGTTCTTCCAATATATATATATATATATATATATATATATTAATATATTTAGTGATAGATAGATAGATAGATAGATAGATACAAATGATTTTAATGTATATTTATAGCAGTCTTGGCTTGTTCCTTTTTTAACCAAACATATGTCTCTTAATGTGCTTAGAGATAGATAGATATGATTTAATGTGTATTTACAGCAGTTGGGTTGTTCCAAAAGATAGATATCTATTTTAATATATTTAGATATAGATAGATATGATTTTAATATATATTTATAGCAGTCTTGGGTTGTTCCAATATATATATATATATATATATATATATATGTATTTTAATATATTTTGACATAGATAGGTAGATAGATATAATTTTTTTAATATATCTATCTATCTATCTATCTAATCTGTTTTAATCTAAACACATTAAAAGATGTAGACCTTTGGTTAAAAAAGGAACAACCCAATGTATATGTCTCTTAATGTATTTAGATTAAAAAATATTAAACTGATATAAATGTTTTAGTGTCTATTTATAACAGCCTTGAGTTATAATGGTGTTGGTTTGTTCCTTTTTTAACCAAAGGTCTTTTAATGTATTTAGATTTAAATAGATTAGATAGATAGAAGTTATTTTAATATTTATTTTTAATATTTATTTATTTCAGATATTTGTACCTCACCCTTCTCTCAGGGCAGCTGTTTTTGTTTGTGACAAAAGATATATGTCTGTTAATATATTTAGATATAGATAGAAAATGATTTTATTATCTACCTATCTATCTGTCTATCTAGGGTTGTTCTTTTTTATTAAACAAAGTTAAATGCTTTTTAATGTATTTAGAACAGACTATATTAATTTATATTAGATAGATAGATATAAATGATTTTAAGTCTTGTACTTTTCCTTTTTAAACCACAGTTTAAATGTATTTAGATTAATACATCTAACCTGGACTGACCTTGAGGGAGCTGGGGGTGGTAACGGCCGACAGGGAGCTCTGGCGTAGGCTGGTCCATGAGGTCACGAAGAGTCGGAGACGACTGAACGAATGAACAACAACAACAACAACAACATCTAACCTTTTAATGTGTTTAGATTAGAATAGATTAGATAGATATATAGATGTTATTTTATGTATATTTATAGCAGTCTTGGGTTTTTGCTTTTGTAACCAAAGGTATACATGTATTTTAATGTATTTAGAAGTACATTTACTGTATTTAGAGATCACTAGATAGATAGATAGATAGATAGATAGATAGATAGATAGATAGATAGATAGATAGAAGTAGATATAATTTTTGGAGCAATATATAGATATAAATTTTGGAACAATCCAAGCCTAATAGATAGATAGATAGATAGAATTTATATCTACCTATATATCTATCAGGCTTGGGTTGTTCCAATATATATATATATATATAATATATTTATATATTGCTAGATAGAGATAGATAGATAGATAGATAGATAGATAGATAGATACAATTTTTACTATCTATCTTTCTATCTTAGGCTGTTCCTTTTAATTAACTGAATATGTAAATAAGCACACAACCCATTTTGTTAACCATAAGAAAACTTACATATATGTATATATGCAATGGACCTTTAAATAACTTTATTGAAAAGCTGGAACAACACATATTACAGAGGTTTGTTATACAAGTTATACTTCAGACAAAGGTTTTCGCCACTTCTCCCGACATACATGTTTTGTTTGCAATAGAAAGGAACATCCCTTCGGCACGGTTGCCTGCAAGTTCGTAATCTAAAAGGGTTTTTTTTTTTGCATGTGGTCTCATGCCTCAAATCGTCTCATTCTTGATCGCACCCAGAATCTATCATACAGCCCTCTGAAAGAGAAAGAAAAATTATGTCAGAAAACATAAATATATATATTTGGGACATTCTCCTACTATGAAATCCTGGGATCTGTACTTTGGTGAGGCACCAGCCCTCTTTGGCCGAGAAGACTAAAGGCCTTGTAAAACTACAAATTCCAGGGCAGGTAAAGTGGCATCAAACTGCATTAATTCTACAGTTTAGATCTTGTGTTTTTGGACAATGTAGAGCTATTTTATGGTGGAATAGCTGTACCTGCCACATATTGCTGTGGCCAACCTTCCATCCCTCTTTCTCTACTTTCTTTCTCTCCTTCCTTCATTCCCTTTCTTTCTTTCCTTTCTTTCTCTCCTTCCTTCCTTCTCTTCTTCTTTCCCTTCCTCCCCCCCCCCTTTTCTTTCCCTTCCTCTTTCTCCCCTTTCTTCCTTCTCTACCTATTCTTGGACTGCAACTCCCAGCAGTCCTCCTGATTGAGCTATCTATCTCTATCTAACTCTATCTAATCTATCTATCTGGAGGATTGCTGGGAGTTGCAGTCCAGGAATATGAAATTGGAAATATGCAGGGATGGGATGCTCTCAAAGAAATCCAAGGAGAAGAAGCTTGCAGCTTGGAAGCAGTGCATTTGGATCATCCTCCTCTCCTAAAGGGCCTGGTCTAGGGGATGCTGGGAGCTGTAGTCCGGAAGACAGTGTGGATATGCTATTGTGTGCTTTGTTTGCCGGGGGAGTCGTCTTTGCACATGCACTGTAGTTGTAATTTTTGTTTTTTGGCTTTTTAAGTCTCTTCTGCTGTGTTTTGCTGTGTATTTATGAGTGATGGTCACTCATTGGCCTGATAGGTGTATTGTGTCCAAATTTGGTGTCAATTCATCCAGTGGTTTTTGAGTTATGTTAATCCCACAAACAAACATTACATTTTTATTTATATAGATTAGATAATGATGGAACATTTCTATCAGAAACACCACTGTCTAGAGCTGAAAAATGTCAGAAGCACCAGCCTGAATTCTATTATTATTATATTATATCATATCACATTAGATGACATTCTAATGATGGTGCATCACAATGGCAGAATATTGACAGGATGGTGAATTTGCTCAGGGTTTTAAATCCAAAGTTTAAAGGAGAAAGGTTCAGCACTTTGGACAGATCCTTCAAAGTTAAACCTAAACCCGAAGTAAGGCCTTTTCTACACTGTCCTTATAGCCCATGGTCTGATCCCAGGCCAACTGCTTTGAACTGGATTATATGAGTTTCCACTGCCATATAATCTGGGATAAGCAGGTAATCTGGGATCAGATCCTGGGATATAAGGACTGTGTGGAAGGGGGCTTTGCTCTCCACTTCAGTGATGTAGGAATCCAAATCCGGAATGCCGCTTTGAATGTCCATATGGAGAGAAAAACGTGGGATAAAAATAAACAATAATAATCATCTATATAAATAAAAACTAGCTGTACCCGCGACACGTTGCTGTGGCCAACCTTCCCTCTTTTTTTTCTTCTTTCCCTCCTTCCTTCACTCCCTCTTTCCTTCCTTCCTTCCCATCTTTCCTTCTCTTCTTCCTTCCTTCTCTATCTCTTTCCTTCCTTCCTTTTCTTTCTCTTCTTGCTGTCTCTCTTTTCTTCCTTCTCTCTTTCCTTACTTCTCCCTCTGTCGTACACATCTTCCGTCCTTTACCTTCAATCCCCTTCAGTCCTTCTTTCCGTTTCTTTCCTTCTCTCCTTCCGAAGGTACTGTCGAAAGTTCATTACTACCCAGTTTACTTTACCTACATCTTTCTCTCCGGGTAACGTGACTTACTCGACCAAGCTTTGTCACACCTTCCTTATCTCGTGATTACAATGCTGCCTGCGCCTTCCTCCTTCCCTCCCTCCTCCCTCCCTTCCCTCCTCCCTCCCCTCCCCCCTCCCTTCCTTCCTCCTCCTCTTTCCTTTTCTTTCTTTCTTTTCCCCTTCCCTCCCTCTTCTTCCTTTTTTCTGTATTGTCATTTAGATTTTCGTCATTTAGCTTTTTTAGCTTTTTAAGTCCCTTCTGCTGTTTTTTAGTGTTTTTATGAGTGAAGGACATACATTGGGTTGTTAGGTGTATTGTGTCCAAATTTAGTGTCAATTCCCCCAGTGGCTTTTGAGTTCTGTTAATCCCACAAACGAACATTACATTTTTATTTATATAGATGTAATGTTCGTTTGTGGGATTAACATAACTCAAAAACCACTGGACGAATTGACACCAAATTTGGACACAAGACCCCTCACAACCCAATGTATGTCCTTCACTCATAAAAACACTGGAAAAACACAATAGAAGGGACTTAAAAAGCAAAAAAAATTACATTACAATGCATCCACAAAACCACACACACATACGCAAACGCATATATATGCATACACAAAACACATATACACAGACTGGGGATGGCTAGTTTACTCATAATTCATCTATATAGAAACTATGAGTCAATGCTGATGATGGATGTATACAGGAATTATAATTATGGGGAATATAATTCTCTATAATCTGATCTCTATAAATACCCCAAATAGTAGTCATGGTGTGTGTGTGTATGTATGTATTCATCTATATGCCACCTTTATCTCAGAATTGGCTCAGAAAAGGATTCAACTTCCTAAACCCAACAACCGTATTTTAAACCCAATTGAAACTATCACATCAAAATAGTATATATCACTAAAAGGTATGCAAAAGTTAAAAATCGAACATCTCCACCTCAATGTATCATTGTGAGACTGGGTTGTTGTAGGTTTTTTCGGGCTATATGGCCATGGTCTAGAGGCATTCTCTCCTGACAAGCATCCTCAGAGGTACCTATCACTACCTCTGAGGATGCTTGCCATAGATGCAGGCGAAACGTCAGGAGAGAGTGCTTCTAGACCATGGCCATATAGCCCGAAAAAAACCTACAACAACCCAGTGATTCCGGCCATGAAAGCGTTCGATAATACATTTATCATTGTGAGAATGTATACCTGGTTTGGAAATAGTCCAGGTGAAGGGGCTCTAGGACCACAAGCTGACCATAAGCATGAGTGTGATGCAGCATCTAAAATGGCCAATGTGATTCAAGGCTACATCAATAGGAGGATAATGTCTATATTGAGGGGAGGTGCATCAATAGAATAGACTATGCTCTGTTCTGCTTTGGTCTGACATCACCTGGAATAATAACCCTGTACCCAAGCAAGTAGGGAGGAGCTTTGGCTTGATCTGTGATCGATTTAGAGATCTAATATGCACCATTCCTCTCACCATTGTTGCAGCAGATGCCAGAGGATGCGCAGGTCCCTCCGCCGTTGCCGCAGGGCTTCCTTCCAGACTCGCACGGCGTCGGGAGGAAGTTCTCTTCTTGGCAACGCAGTGTTTCGGCCGTGCCGAAGTAGCACCCCAGTTCTTCCCCACAGCAGATGTTGGGCCCAAAGCAGTGGCCCCGGTTTCTAGGACCACAAGAGAGGCACTGGTGGGAAACACAAGCACAAAAGGTGATTTCACCCAGAGCTGCTGCTTGGCACATCTGGTTGGGCAAACACTTTGCGGCTGAAGAAATTTGGCATTATTATTATTATTACTAACTGTCCCCTGCCACGCGTTGCTGTGGCCTGCTCTGGTGGTCATGGGGGTTCTGTGAGGGAGGTTTGGCCCAATTCTATCATTGGTGGGGTTCAGAATGCTATGTGATTGTAGGTGAACTATAAATCCCAGCAACTACAACTCCCAAATGTCAAGATTCTATTTTCCCCAAACTCCACCAGTGTTTACATTTGGGCATATTGAGTCTTCGTGTAGAGTTTGGTCCAGACCCATCATTGTTTGAGTCCACAGTGATCTCTGGATGTAAGTGAACTACAACTCCAAAACCAAAGGGCACTGCCCACCAAACCCTTCCAGTATTTTCTGTTGGTCATGGGAGAACTGTGAGCCAAGTTATTTATTTTATTATTATTATTTACAGCTTTTATATTCCGCCCTTCTCCTCACCCCGCAGGGGACTCAGGGCAGATTACAGTGTACACATATATGGAAACATTCAATGCCAATTTTTGACATACAAACATATACAGACATACACAGAGGCTATTTAACTTTTTCTGGCCGCCAGGGGAGCTGTCGCTTTCATCGTCCATCTGCGACGCTGATGAAGCACTTCCGCATTCCCCGCATGCTTCCCCGCTGGAATGCTTTGCTGGAGTCTTCTTTATGGCATCATAAATCAGTTAATTTAGCCTCCCCACACTTTAAGGTGGTACCTAATTTTCCTACTTGACAGATGCAACTGTCTTTCGGGTTGCAAAGGTCGACAACAGGCTACACAATTGGTTGGAAACCCACTCCAACCCGGGCTGGCTTCGAACTCATGACATTTTGGTCAGAGTGATCTTAATGCAGCTGACACTCAGCCAGCTGCGCCACAATCCCGGTTGCCATTAACAGGTTGCATTCCGTCATTGGTGGAGATCAGAATGCTCTTTGATTGTGGGTGAACTATAAATCCCAGCAACTACAACTCCCAAATTACAAAATCATTTTTTTGAGTGAAGGACATACATTGGGTTGTTAGGTGTCTTGTGGCCAAATTTGGTGTCAATTCGTCCAGTGGTTTTTGAGTTCTGTTAATCCCACAAACAAACATTACATTTTTATTTATATAGATGATAATAATAATAATTATTATTATTATTATTATTATTATTATTATTATTATTAGAAACACAACAAGATGATTCCACAGCAGACAAGATCACTCTGCTGGCTGTTGTATTGGATCACACGTCGGACACTTCCCAAGTGTCTAGGACTGTGTGATGTATCGGTGAATAATGCGTGCAGATCCCAGTAAGGTGGCCTTCTGCAGCTGGCAGATGGTAATTTTGTCAGCATCGATTGTGTTTAAGTGCAGGCCAAGGTCTTTAGGCACTGCACCCAGTGTGCCAATCACCACTGGGACCACCTTGACTGGTTATTATATGTATATCCCCATTTTCTCTATCAATCAATCAATTAATAACACTATGTAACAGGAGCTCCTGGCGGTGCAATGGGTTAAACCTTTGTGCCGGCAGGGCTGCTGACTGAAAGATCAGCAGTTCGAATTCAGGGTGACCGGGTTGAGCTCCCTCTGTCAGCTCCAGCTTCCCATGCAGGGACATGAGAGAAGCCTCCCACAAGGATGGTGAAACATCAAAACATCTGGGCATCCCCTTGGGCAATGTCCTTGCAGATGGCCAATTCTCTCACACCAGAAGTGACTTGCAGTTTCTCAAGTTGCTCCTGACATGAAAAAAACAAAACAAAAACATTTCAATGGGAAATGTGTTATTTCCTGTTTAATTGTGTGGTCCTTACTTTGAAAGTAGTAGTTCTACTCCAGAAACGTCATTTTTGTGGCTGCCACAAACTTATGTTGAATTGGTTGAGACTCAATGAGGCATTCATTGGATACCTATAGCAAATTGTGTTACAGGATGTCCCTTCTGCAATTTAATACATTTTCCCATGTTTTTTTTTATGATAGAACCAATTAGGAAATGACATTTATAACTCAGGAACAACAACTGTGTTACATTGTGTAACAACAACAGCAGCAGCAACAGCAGCAGCAGCAGCAACAACAACATGTTATTTGTTATCCACCACTCCTAATGGATCAAGGTGGATACAACAGTCAGAACATATCAATATAAAATACATAGAACAAGATACATATATCAAAACGCACAATTATAAAGTACATATGCCAATACATAAGGTACAAAGATCAACATAAAGCAGCAGCAACAGAATGCAAACCACTTTTAATGAACAAAATTCACAAGGCGGCATAAAGTAAAGACAAGCAGAACAAAATCTCATGACATTGCAAATTCAGAACTAAACAAACCAATGGATCTATTATCATTTAGCAGGGAATAGACCCAATTAATCTGCCACCCAATTTCTCTAGGTGCATTCACATTGTTGAATTAATGCAGTTTAACACCACTTTATATGCCCTGGCTCAATGCTATGGAATCATGATGGTGTAGCTTTGCAAAGTCTTTTTAGCCTTCTCTACCAAAGAGTGTTAGTGCTTCAACAAACTACAAATCCCATGATTCCACAGCATTGAAGCAATGGTAGCTAAAGTGGTATCAAAGGGCATTACTTCTGTAGTGGAGATGCCCTCAAGTCCTACCTTTCGGACGTCCATATCGAGGATGGAGCGCTTCCCTCCGATGGGGCAGTTCTGGATGTAGCAAGCGGAAGAGAAAGCCAGGATCCAGAACAAGCAGAAGGCTCTGGTGCTTTGCGACATGGTCCCGATCTTCATTGATGGCTCCTTTTCTGGGATACTGAGTTGGAGAACCTCTTCAGGTGTTTGCCTCTGGGATGGCAGATGTATATATACCATACATCTCCATGCCGTCACTTTCCTTCTTACGCATTTCTCTTTAAAAAAACTCAACGCATTGCTTTCCACATCAGATGTCTCCTTTAATCAGCCGAGGTCACAGGCGTGAGATTGGTTAAATATAGATAATTCTCTCGGTTTTTGGGGCAAAAGATGTTTCAAAGGCCAAGAAGTCTTCTTAATTGAAGAAGTTTTGGATGTCACCAAAGGTCAGAGAAGATAGCATTAAGACTTTGAATTGGGCTATCAAGAAATGTTCTTGCGTAAATCGACGGACTTTCATTTGAAAGTTTTGAAAAATGCAACTTTTGTTGAAGGGGGTGAGCTTCCATGATGAGGAGCAAATGATCAAGGGTCTGGAGAACAAGCCCTATGAGGAGCGGCTTAAGGAGCTGGGCATTTTTAGCCTGAAGAAGAGAAGGCTGAGAGGAGATATGATAGCCATGTATAAATATGTGAGAGGAAGCCACAGGGAGGAGGGAGCAAGCTTGTTTTCTGCTTCCTTGGAGACTAGGACGCGGAACAATGGCTTCAAACTACAAGAGAGGAGATTCCATCTGAACATGAGGAAGAACTTCCTGACTGTGAGAGCCGTTCAGCAGTGGAACTCTCTGCCGCGGAGTGTGGTGGAGGCTCCTTCTTTGGAAGCTTTTAAACAGAGGCTGGATGGCCATCTGTCAGGGGTGATTTGAATGCAATATTCCTGCTTCTTGGCAGGGGGTTGGACTGGATGTCTCTTCCCCGGAGTGTGGTGGAGGCTCCTTCTATGGAGGCTTTTAAACAGAGGCTGGATGGCCATCTGTCAGGGTTCTTTGAAGGTAATTTTCCTGCTTCTTGGCAGAATGGGGTTGGATTGGAAGTAGCCTCCACCACACTCCAGGGCAGAGAGTTCCACTGCTGAACAGCTCTCACAGTCAGGAAGTTCTTCCTCATGTTCAGATGGAATCTCCTTTCTTGTCGTTTGAAGCCATTGCTCCATTGCGTCCTAGTCTCCAGGGAAGCAGAAAAAAGCTTGCTCCCTCCTCCCTATGACTTACTCTCACATATTTATACATGGCTATCATGTCTCCTCTCAGCCTTCTCTTCTTCAGGCTAAACATGCCCAACTCCTTAAGCCGCTCCTCATAGGGCTTGTTCTCCAGACCCTTGATCATTTTAGTCGCCCTCCTCTGGACACATTCCAGCTTGTCAATATCTCTCTTCAATTGTGGTGCCCAGAATTGGACACAATATTCCAGGTGTGGTCTAACCAAAGCAGAATAGAGGGGTAGCATTACTTCCCTGGATCTAGACACTATGCTCCTATTGATGCAGGCCAAAATCCCATTGGCTTTTTTTGCCGCCACATCACATTGTTGGCTCATGTTTAACTTGTTGTCCACGAGGACTCCAAGATCTTTTTCACATGTACTGCTCTCAAGCCACGTGTCCCCCATTCTGTCTCTTTGCATTTCATTTTTTCTGCCTAAGTGGAGTCTCTTGCATTTGTCCCTGTTGAACTTCATTTTGTTAGTTTTGGCCCATCTCTCTAATCTGTTACTCCTCTGAAAGTAAGAAGATGCTCTTTTATTAAATCATATAAAATACCAAGTTGTATAAGTTGTGTTAAATATTAGTTTATCAAGTTAATGTTGCTATAGAAAATTATATCCTTGTTCCCTCTTAACTGGACCAGTAGATGGAGCACAAGCCTGAAAAACAAGGATCTAAACACCTTCATGAGGATATAAATGCTGGTGTATCTTTTAGATCTGTTTGTGATGTCTTGGGCAAATTGGGTTATACAAAACCATGAACGTTTATGACAGTGGTTCTCAACCTTCCTAATGCCGCGACCCCTTAATACAGTTCCTCATATTGTGGTGACCCCCAACCATAACACTAACATTATGAATCACCATGTAAATAATGATCTGCAGGACGTATTTTCATTCACTGGAGCAAATTTGGCACAAATACCCGGTATGCCCAAATTTCAATACTGGTGGGGTTGGCGGGGGGATTGATTTTGTCATTTGGGGGTTGTAGTTGCTGGGATTTACAGTTAACCTGCAAACAAAGAACATTCTGAACCCCACCAACAATGGAATTGAACCAAAGTTGGCGCACAGAACTCCCATGACCAACAGAAAATACTGCAAGGGTTTGGTGGGCATTGACCTTGAGTCTGGGAGTTGTAGTTCGCCTACATCCAGAGAGTACTGTGGGCTCAAACAGTGATGGATCTGGACCAAAGTTGGCACGGATACTCAATATGCCCAAATGTGAAAACTGCTGGGGTTTGGGGCAAATAGACTTTGACATTTAGGAGTTGTACTTACTGGGATTTATAGTTCACCTACAATCAAGGAGCATTCTGAACCCCACCAATGATAGAATTGGGCCAAAGTTCCCACACAGAACCTCCATGACCAACAGAAAATACTGTGTTTTCTGATGGTCTTTGGCGACCCCTCTGACATACCTTCGCAACCCCCACCTCCAGGGGTCCCGACCCCCAGGTTGAGAAACACTGGTTTATGAGATAAAGACATTGTGGATTTTTAAACCATGGTAATTAAAGTGGCAACAAACCACAATACTTCTACAGTAGAGGTGCACTTTGGAGCCTGTCACAGGAAATATAAAACTCTTACAGACCCACCAAGAAAATCCAACAAATGCAACATTCAGCAAAGGACAAGAGGGATCCTCTCACCTCTGCAGGAGTCTACCGTATACCATGCAGCTGTGGACAAGTCTACATAGGGACCACCAAACGCAGCAGCATTGCCCAACACGAATCAAGGAACATGAAAGGCACTGCAGACTACTTCAACCAGAGAAGTCAGCCATAGCAGAGCACCTGATGAACCACCTGGACACAATTATCTGAGAACACAGAAATGCTGGACCACACCAACAACAGACTACACAGAGAAGCCATTGAAATCCACAAGCATGTGGACAATTTCAACAGAAAGGAAGAGACCATGAAAATGAACAAAATCTGGCAACCAGTATTAAAAACCTCTAAAATCATAACAGTAAATAAAGAGCAAAACTAAAAAAAACAGGGAAATTCCAGACATGACTCAATCAGGGCCAGCTAACACCTCCCAACAAAGGATTCTCCTCAGGCAGGAAGATGCCAGGCTTTGAAGCTGCAAGGCCATTAAATGCTAATCAAGGTGATCAATTGCATCATTCAAACTTGCCTCAAGTAGACAATGATCAACGAAGGATCCCCCCAGGCATTAACAAGCCACACCTAAAAACGGTCAGGCCATCAAATGCTAATCAAGGTGGCCACTTGAAACATTCACACCTAACTCCAACAGACAAGAGTTCTTTCTCCCACCCTGGACATCATTCCAGAGATATATAAACCCCACTTGCCTAGTTTCCAACAGACCTTACAACCTCTGAGGATGCCTTGTTACAGTAAGCAGTACCAGGACCAAGTGTGTGTGTGTGTGTGTTGAAGAAAAACCTTATGATGGTAATTATTATGTGCAGCTGGTAATGTAGGTCAACCAGCAATCTTGGACCAAACCCGATAGGGTATAACTGTATGGGATTTTAGAATACAGTTCTGGAGAGCTTTAGGGAACATGAAAGGAACTGCAGACTAATTCAACCAGAGATGTCAGCCATAGCTGAGCTCCTGATGAACCAACCTGAACATAGAATATTATTTGAGAACACAGAAATGCTGGACCACACCAACAACCACCATGTCAGACTACACAGAGAAGCCATTGAAATCCACAAGCATGTTGACAATTTCAACAGAAAGGAAGAAACCATGAAAATGAACAAAATCTGGCTACCAGTATTAAAAAAACTCAAATTACAACAGTAAATAAAAAACAACACTCAAACACAGTGAAACTCCAGACAAGAAACAATCAGGGACAGCTAATCACCCCTCAACAAAGTATTCCCCCAGGTAGTAACAAGCCACACTTAAAACTGTCAGGCCATCAAATGCTAATCAAGGTGGCCAATTAAAACATTCACACCTAGCTCCAACAGACAAGAGTTATTTCTCCCACCCTGGACCTTCCACAGATACATAAACCCAATTTTCTTAGTTTCCAACAGACCTCACAAACTCTGAGGATGCCTGCCATAGATGCAGGCGAAACATCAGGAGAGAATGCTTCTAGAACATGGCCATACAGCCCAAAAAACCTACAACAGCCCAGTAAAACTTGCATGTTGAAACAGCTCCATTGACTACAGTTTCATTTCCTTGCACGACTCAAAGTACTGGTTGTGAGCTATAAAGCTCTATATGGCTGTATGAAACATTGTACACATTGAATATCCCTTATACAAAATGCTTAGTGTTTGAGATTTTGCATTCCCCACCCCCCCAATTTTGGAATATCTGTATCCATGTATTGTCGAAGGCTTTCATGGCCAGAATCACTGGGTTGTTGTAGGTTTTTTTGGGCTATATGGCCATGGTCTAGAGGCATCCTCTCCTGACGTTTCGCCTGCATCTATGGCAAGCATCCTCCACTTATTGAGATGTCTTTCAAAATGTGATCAGACTATTTAACTTTTTCATTATCAGGATTTTAGCCTTTGTGAGCCTCATGCTGGGTGAAGAAATGATGTATAAATTAAATCAGGAACCAACTTTCCACTTCCAGAGTGAAATAATAATAATAATAATAATAATAATAATAATAATAATAATAATTAAGTGGGATATAAATAAATAAAATATAATAATAATAATAAAATATTATTATTATATTTTTTTAATTTATATCCCATTTTCTCTCTCGATATGGATTCTCAAAGCAAAATGATCATTGTGCATTAATGATTTCCAAAAATGTGCCAAAAAAGGGGAAATGCATGATTTCAGTTGTGTGCATGTGTCTTGTTTATGTTTATGTTTATACTTCACTTTATCTCTCCCGAAGGCGACTCATACACAACGGCACTTAGCTGTTTCG